TGTTATTTATAAGTGAGATTTCATTGATATCATTGAGAGAGATATTTTATGCACAGAAATTGCAGACAAGAATACATTAGTTGTTGAGTCAGGAAAGTTTTGCATTTATTTATTTATTTATGTACATTAATTGCTCAAAGTAAGGAGTTTCATTATGGCACTTCCACACATGCATATAATGTGCTTCTTTACTCCTCTCTCCGGTTTCCTTATCCTTTCACCTCCCCAGTATTCCCCCTTTTACTTTCATGACCTTTTGGTTTTTTCTTCTAGCTCCCACAAATGAGAGAAAACATGTGATACCTGGGTTTTTTGGGGGAAGGGAGAGATAGCTTATTTCACTTAACATGATATTCTCCAGTTCCACCTGTTTCCCAGCAAATGACAAAATTCCATTCTTCTTTATGGCTGAGTAAAACACCATTGTGTCTGTATATCACATTTTCTCCATTCATTCATTGATGAACACCTAAGCTGATTCTGTACATTGGCTATTGTGAATAATACCAGAATAAACATGGGTATCTTTATAGTAAGCTGACTTTCATTCCTTTAGGTATATACACAGAAGTAGTCTAGCAGAATCATCTGGGAGCTCTATTTTTAATTTTTTGAGGAACCTCCATACTGATTTCCATAGTGGTTAGACTAATTTACATTCCTCTAGTAGTGAGTTAGGATTCCTTTTTTCCTGCATTCTCACTAACATTTGTTGTTATTTGTTTTCTTGATGATAGACATTCTGACTAGGGTTAGATGAAATCTCAACTTTCAGCTTAATTCTCTAGTGCTAAGCATCACGGAATGATTCACAATACCTCAGCACTATAGGGCACCTTATAGGTCTAAGCACCCATACATTATATCAGGATATCTTTTTCAGAATTGTTCAACCACATTTCATGAATGACAAATATACATACATACGCAAAGGGACACATACTGGTCCTGTATTCACCCAGCTTCTTCAATAAGGAGCTTCTTCTAATCACTTTCAGTTAATACCCTGACCTATTCTGCTCCATCCATCCCTTTTCCACAGTATCCACTACAACAACCACACACATCAATGATCCTGGGGTTTTCTCACCCTAATTTTCCCAACCATTTGCCTAGCACAATGTTTCCCAAAGTGTGGCAAGCTCATCACTGTTACTCTTCAAAATGACTTTAGATAGTATGGAGATGATCATTTGTATTCTAAAGAATGCATTCCTTTTAATGTGTATTAGATAAAAAGTTGCCAACACATGAACGTTTAATGTCACTGCTTAAGAAGAGAAATAGAAAAAGAAGTCTATTTACAAATAAAAATGTAAAGATCTTTTGGGCACTGCGCTAAGTAGTTTATAGACAAAAAAACATGAGAATTCTATGGGACAAATTGAAGTCTAAAGGTCATCATTTGACATTTTCCCCACATGCTTTCTACTTCTTTAGATAACTAAAGAAATGTCACACCAGCTAGCCAGAACCACATTCGTTTGGTGTGTTTTTTATTTCTGGGGGGGGTGGGGGAAGGGAAATTGCAGTTGACCCTGGATAACTGCCTCCATCCTAATCTCCTGCCTGGCAACCTTCACACTTTCCTTCTAGAAGAAGCCAAGATTATAAAGCCCAGATAGGCACACCAAAGGGAGCTCTGTAAGGCCAAGATCTCAAATGAAGCTCTGGGGAAGTTCTGGGGGTAGTATAGAATCCTACAACTTCTAACATGTCATAGTTTGAAGTATCAGCAGTAGAAAATAATTGAAGATAAGAAGATGCCCATTCTGAACATCGCTCCTTCCATTACTCCTTAATATTTTCTGATTCTTAGGGATCAATAGCAGCTCCCTATCTTCAGTGCCATTGTTGAATAGGTACAGCAATGAGACCACCTCATTCCCAGAGTTATTAGACAGGGTTTTGACCAAGAACAGTCAAAAATAATTTTAAAAATCAAAATAAATTTCAAAAACAAATTTTTAAATAACCATGCACACACTATGCAGCTCAGTTGATTCGGAGAAGCTCGTGGTCCTGCGTTATTGTCAGTTGTGTTTAAATCATTGTGTGATCTGCTGAGGGTTCCCAAGCCTTTAATTTTGTGAAAGCATACTTCCCAAAAAGTAAACTGTGCACAAAAGCAAGGTAACAGATAAGAGTTACTGTTCTTAATTTAAGAGATAAAGTGAAAATTGTAGCTGTGTCTTTAGTGGAAGTTTGGTAGCTTCCACAGTTCATACCAAACTCTGTGTATGCTGAGTATTCATGGCTTTTCCTTAATAGTCACTGTCTGCTTGAAACTATACACTCACAGATATCAATGATCTACTATACTGAGTGCCTATATTGTCCCAAAATTCAAGGCACAGTCCATGATTATAATCTTAGAAGTAAAGCCATTTTGCCATTTTTTTACTTTTAGAAATGAGACTCTCAACTGGGAATGATTTTGACTCATAGAGGATGTTTGGTAATGTCTGGAGACATTTTGGGTTCTCACAATTTCAGGATGTAGGTGGTGCTATTTACATCTTAGAGGCAAGGGATCCTGGTAACCATTAGTACACAGGACAGTTTCCCATAAGGAAGAATTATCTGGTTCCAGATGTTAATGGCATCAAAGATGAGAAGCTGCCTTTCACGGTCATCTCAATAGCAGTAAAATTTCAAGTAAAAAGTGAAACAGGAACAAGTCAAGATTGATAATTTGCTTAGGCAGATAAAACATCCTGGTACATGATTTCAGATTTATTGAATAGATGTAGAATCTGGCTACTGCTATCTAGATGGAGTTTACTTATTAAAATTCCCTCACAGCCAGGTCCATTGGCCACACCTGCAATCCTAGGTACTTGGGATGTGGAGGCAGAAGGACCATGAATTTGAGGCCAACCTGGTAAACTCAGTGAGACCCTGTCTCAAAATAAAATAAAAAATGAGCTGGAGTGTAGCTCAATGGTAGAGCACTTGCCTGTTTGCCTAGCATAAGCTTGTGTCCTTCCCAATTAATTCTAATAATGCCTGTTCCAGGAACTCAATTTCTGGATTTTCCAAAATTCCATATATTTCCTCATGTTAGCTCTTAGTTCCATAGAGTTCAGACTGTATCTTTTATTATGTTTATAGTATCACAATTGACTACATGGATCCTGAAATAAAGTTGTTGAGTTTGAACCCAAGATTGATCACAGTAGCTATAAAACTTTGAAAAAAATTTTCTAAGCCTCGCTCTCTCTGTTTCTGAACTGCTATACCGCTCATGGCATTGTCTGTGAGTATGCATGAGTTGATGCATGGATATCCCTTCTACAGTGCTCTTATACATAGTAAACACTCCACAGCCACCAGTTTGCATGATCATCTGCTAAGAATTTGTTGTTACCTTGCTAAGAGCAAAAACTCTAAAGGCAGATTTTCTGTGATGGAATCTTGCTTCTCGTGTGATTTTAGTCACTTCCTTTATACATTTGGTGCCTTAGTTTCCTCTTCTGTAAAGTGGGGATTTTAATGGGTATATTTTATGGCTGCTATGAGGATTAATAAATTAACACAGGCAAAGTATTTAGAACACACCAGTCCCCCCCTTATCCATGGGAGAGTCATTCCAAGACTATTGGATGCCTAAAACTAAAGATAGTACAAAATTATATATATGTAAGATATATATATATGTTTATATAAATTTTCATATAGATTTATGTATATATGTGTACTTATGATAAAGCTTAGTTTAAAAATAAAACACAATAAGAAATTAACAATAATAATAATATAATAATACACTATGATGACAGTTATTTAAAATTATGAATTGCTTGTTTCTAGTAGGTTTATTATTTTTGGTTTGTGGTTGGCATGGTCAACTGAAACCTGATAAGGAGGTATTACTATCCCTGACATATAGTAAGCTCTAGATAAATAAAAGTTATAATTTCTTAACTTTTCCCCTTTGTCTATTATAATTTTCATCGAGAACAATTTTACTCTCCTCAGAAGAATAAGTTGTTGCTGTTAATAAAAATTAACACTGATAAGCAAGATCAGAACTGCAGTTAAAACAAAGATCATAATTGTGAATAAGAGAAAGTCAATTAAACAACAAAGATTCAAAGTTCAAGACAATCCTTAGGACCACATTCACAGTTGAGGCAAACAAGTCCCTAAGATTTTGATCTGAGAATCTGGAAACATGTGAATCTGTCTCATGACAATACACCACATAATTTTTCTTTTTTTTTTTTAAATTTTTTTTTCTTTTATTATTCATATGTGCATACAAGGCTTGGTTCATTTCTCCCCCCTGCCCCCACCCCCTCCCTTACCACACACTCCATCCCCTCCCTCTCCCCCCCACCCCTTCAATACCCAGCAGAAACTATTTTGCCCTCATTTCTAATTTTGTTGAAGAGAGAGTATAAGCAATAACAGGAAGGGACAAGGGTTTTTGCTGGTTGAGATGAGGATAGCTATACAGGGCATTGACTCACATTGATTTCCTGTGCGTGGGTGTTCCCTTCTAGGTTAATTCTTTTTGATCTAACCTTTTCTCTATTACCTGTTCCCCTTTTCCTATTGGCCTCAGTTGCATTTAAGGTATCTGCTTTAGTTTCTCTGCATTAAGGGCAACAAATGCTAGCTAGTTTTTTAGGTGTCTTACCTATCCTCACCCCTCCCTTGTGTGCTCTCGCTTTTATCATGTGCTCATAGTCTAATCCCATTGTTGTGTTGGCATTAGATCAAGGGCAAACACATAATTTTTCTATAGAGAACAGTAACCACCAGGTGGGTTCGTTACTTCCATTCCCATAACCTTAAGAAAAAAAATTTAAATGTGGCCCTGAATTATCTTCCATCTGTCACAAAATTGAATTCTAAATTTAGACTGGTGAGTTTCCAGTGACATCATTTCTCTGGCAGCTGAGGCTATGATTTCAGGGACAGATCTGGAAGTATAAATAGCTGTGGAAGAAAAGCCTTCATCTTATTCCCTGGTCCAGATCCACAGAACAACCATGAAGATTCTCATCTTCCTTGCTTTCCTGGGAGCTGCTGGCGAGTCTTTCTAATGAATGAATCAGTAAGTGACAATAGACAATAGTGTAAGTACATTTGCACTTTGTGCTCTAGAAAAAAAACAATTGTTGAATATAAGCTTTGTGAACAAGGACAATAAAATGCCAAAACAACAGTATATGCATACATACGTATATATGTATATACACACATGTCTACACACACACACACACACATATATAGTGTATGTGTGTTTATAGATAATTGAAACTTCTCACTTGTCAGAGAAAGATCACAATACTGAAGAAAGATTTAGTGTACATGGCACAAAGAATTAGAACTTGTCTTGGACTTCCATATGACATCTGTGGATTAGGAAAGAAAGGAAAGAATACCCCATGAGAAAGAAATATTGATCTTGACCTCTCTAAGAATTTGGAGTTAACAGTGGAAAGCAATCTGTGCTCCTTGAGGCTCTGAAAGTCTAAGCCTGGATCTCCTGAATACTGAAGAGATGGGTATTTACCCAAGGGGTCCTAACACATGATAGATAGATAGATGATAAATAGGTAGATAGATAGATAGATAGATAAACAGATATTTTTGTTTGTGTTTGTTTATTTGCTTGCTTGAGATAGAGTCTTATTATAGCCCAGGCTGACCTTGAACTCATGATCTTATTGCCTCAGCCTCCTAAGTGCTGGGATTACAGGTGTGAACCTCTACACTAGCTCAAGTTACTTTATTTTTGATATATAAAAACTTAGGTTGGGCTGGTAGAGTGGCTCAAGTGGCAGATGACCTGCCTAGTAAATGTGAGTCCCTAAATTCAAACCCCAGTAGCACCAAACAAACAAACAAACAAACAAACAAAAACTTTGGCTGTGTTTTGTGACACCCTTAATAATAAAGCATCCATTGTTAAAACATATAGAAAAATGACTATTTCCAGTTTTATTCTATCAAGCTTTATATTACTAAAACTTAATACTAAAGTTTCCAAATTCAGAAGGCATAAGTACAATATATCTGTCTACATACCTGAAAACACATTTTCTAAAGTTATTTAAAAATATTGGAAAATTAAAACCCATAAAATATAATTACAGACTTTTGGAACTGCAAGAAATCTTGATATCAGTGGGCTCTACTTAGAAAGATAATTGGGATAAGGAGAATGGAGAGCAGAATGTTATAATGATAATCACAATAATGAAAGATCTAGGCTAGAATCAAAGAGAGAACTTAAAAAATAAATAAAAACTTCTCATGTCCTTCCACACTAGAATATTCTCAGATGGCTCCTAAAATTTTCTTCTTTGTTACCTTACAGAGATAACTATGCCATTCCAAAACCTCATCATCCACCATAAATATAAGCCAGCAAGATCTGCAAAGTTTCCTACTTATTTGAATGGCTATTGAGCAGGGTTTTGTGTACAAAGGACTTTTATGTCCTCAGGGAGTGGAAGTCAGGCATCTACAGTAGAAAGAACCTCTAATCTTTGTGAATATTGAGGTATGTAGGAGTGTGTGTGTGTGTGTGTGTGTGTGTGTGTGTATGTGTGACAAATACAAGAATACAATATATTATTCAAAATTAAACAATAAGTTAAATTATTAGACTCTTATTAACAATGACATAAGAGTAGGTGTTAGGGATAAAATAATACATTTTCAAATATAATACTTTAAAACCACCATTCCTGAATTGAGAGACAACAGAACATTGTGCTTTCTTTTCTTATTATTCTGAAAAAGTTGCATGGTAAAATAGAAATTCCATGATGAATCTGTTTAAGAGTGTTGCAGTTTCAATATGCATTGTCCCCCACAGACTCCTGTGTTATAACCTAGGTTCCCAGTTGGTGGCACTACTTGGGGAGGTTCTGAAAGCTTTAGGAGGTGGAGTCAAGCTGGACGAAGTATGTCACTGGGGGTCATTGGTTGTATCTTGTCCTGCGTCCTTTTCTGTCCCTGTCTGCTTCCTGACTGACATGTGTTGAACAGTTCTGCTATATCACACCTTTCCTAACATGATATAGCAGAACCTCCAAAACAGTGCACCAAAATAAATCCTCCCTTAGATTGCTTCTTTAAAGTATTTTGTCATAGTTACACAAACACAACTAATACCAAAAGTTCCCAACTTTTCTGATAGTTGCTCTACCCATTGATGATTATGATGACAAGATTGTTGGGGGCTACACTTGTCAGAAGAATCCCTTCCCCTACCGGTTGTCCCTGAATGTTGGCTACCACCTATATGGGGGATCCTTCATCAACAGCCAGTGGCGGTACATTCAGCAGCTCACTGCTGCAAATCGTAAGTGACCAATTTTCACAATCCTATGCTGTAAGGTCAATTAATCCTTTAGTCACACCAAAGGATAATCAGGGCAAACTACAGAATTATGCTTGATGAGTAAAACATTCAGATTCTAAAAATCTTAGTATTCCTTCAAGAAGTGGGACATTTAAATTGAGTTCACTAATATCTTCCTAATAATTGTACAAAATTCATGGAAGTTAAAGACTGGATAATGAAGTATCTCTAGAAATACTTTTAGAATATGAATCAGTACATAGTCCTAATAATTATAGTTGAAACATAGTAAAAGTACATATAGAGGTAATAAACCACATCATATTTCCGGCACAACATGAAAAATAAGTGTATTTTTTCTCTCCCTAAATATTCTTCTCTATCTCTGACTCCTAACTTATCTCCCTATGAAACTCAAGGATCCCAACCAGAGGAGAAACAGCTGGTGCTGACCATCTACACTAATCTCCATTTTACCTGCAACTCTTGTGTAGGAGTCATTGGTTCCCACTTCAATCACTTGCTATTCTAACAAGGTGGACTCTGAATCTGTACTACCAGTGACTGTTACCTAAGGAATTATCTACCCTGCAGCATGGGTGGTACTGCATCATAGTACCTTAAGTGCACAATTACCAGTGTGACTAAATGCTTAATGTTGCTTGTATTAATGCTCATGATTGGAAGTTTGGGGAAAAGGGAAGAAGATCAAGTAGGATACTTAAGAAACTTTTAATCCTTAAATCCAGCCAGCTACAGATACGTCTGGGAGAACACAACACTGATGTCACTGAGGGTAATGAGCAGTTTATCAATGCGGCCAAAATCATCAAACACCCCAAATACAACAAATTCACCTATGATAATGACATCATGCTGATTAAACTGAAGTCAACTGCCACAATCAACTCTCGAGTGTCTACTGTCTCCCTGCCAAAGTCATGTCCATTTGCTGGTACTCAGAGTCTCGTGTCTGGCTGGGACAACACTGTGAGCAGTGGCAGTAAGTGTCACCTGGAACACAAATAACCAAGTCTGAAAATTTTAGAGGTAAAAGGAACATTGAGGGTCAATTAGTTCAAATTCTCTCTCAAGGCAATGTTCATCAAGGACAGTTTTAGATGTCTGCAGTCTTAGAACACGCTAACTGAAGTGACACAGATTCTTTTGCTGAAATCATGTAGAAGATACAACAAAAATGAACTATTAAAAAGAAGACATGGTATGTAGCTGAAGTATGATTAGTGACCTTCAGAGAAATAGAAACAGAAGACATAAGTAGCACTGTCTGTGGGGTTCAGTACTGCCCGAAGTATATACCCACTTGAGTGTCTGCACTGAGGGCTGGAGACACTGATGCTAGTGTCAGAGAAAGAATGATTTTTTTTATTCAAACAACTTGGAGAATCTTCTCAAATAAAAAAAATGTCTCCCAAATTAGAGGTCATTGGCAAATTGGAAAACAGAGGTACTATGAAAGAGTGGGAAAGAAATTTCCAGAACACTGTGAGTAAGCTTGCATTTTCACTCTTGTACTCAACAGCCAAAAATCCTTCACTTCTTCAGTGTCTGGATGCTCCCGTCCTGTCTGACTCTTCATGCAAAACTTCCTACCCAGGCAAAATCACTAGCAACATGTTCTGCCTAGGCTTCCAGGCGGGTGGCAAGGATTCTTGCCAGGTAAGTTTATTCTTCCTAACTCAGCCTCCCTCATCTCCATGGTATTTGTGTTTTTCTGAAACACAGATGACTGTGAACTACACTCTCTTGGAGTGACTGTAAGAGGTGAGGAGTAGATTGGGGGTAAATTATGAATTGTCCCTATGATAATATTGACTGGAGTTAAGGTAAAACAATTCATAGACGATGGTGTGCAAACAAGACATGTAAGCACTCATCTCAGGAAATTTATTGTGGAATGTAACATTCATAAAAGGAGCAGAGCTTTTGGGATAGCATTAAATGTTTATAGTTCTCACCTTTTCTTGGTACTGTAGTCTTACTAATGAAAAAGAAGGGTATAATAAAGGAAGAAATAGAATAGGAATATAGTCACAAGTTGGAAGATTGGATTTCCAGGTATAAAGACAATACTTCATGAAGGACCAGTATCCTGTGGAAATGGCCCCAGGACAATGGAGGAACATTGTGGATCCCATTCTAGCATCCAGACACAATCCAACACTCTGATGTCTGTTTCCTTTTGCTCGGGGTGATTCTGGTGGCCCTGTGGTCTGCAATGGACAGCTGCAGGGCATTGTTTCCTGGGGTGATGTCTGTGCTCTGAACGGAAAACCAGGTGTCTACACAAAAGTGTGCAATTACCTGGACTGGATTCAGCAGACCATTGCTGCCAACTGATATATGTATTTCTTCATGATCCACACTCTAGTAGTCAACTATATCTTCTTTGTATGTCTGAAATCAGTGTCTAAATAAAAACATTATTTTCTGCCCCGCATCTGTCCAGGTATAGTCCTTGCTCAGTATTGGCAAACTTTCCCTTGAAACTTGCAGCTAAGTGAGAATGTGGACAGAGAATTGAACTATTTCATGGATACAGTTTGAAAAGCTGTTTATTATTTCATTCAAATATTTGTTGGTAGTTTATTAATATAACAGGAGTGTTTGTTGGAAACAGGGTCTTGCTATGTAGCCCAGCCTGAACTAAAACTTTCTATGTAGTCTACTTAGTAAATGATGAAGATAAGGAATAGATTTTTAAAAGGCAAGAATAATCTTCACTAGGGTAATCAGATATGATTATTGATGCATTGTCTACATAGCACTGAATAACCAGAAACAGCTTACATTACTAGATATAGGGCATTGAATAAAATAAATACAGTACACCTTCAATGGATAAAATGTAAGAATTCTATTCATTTATCTAATCACTAGTCATTCTAGTCATTTATCCAATCACTTTTTCATCAAACACTTATTGAAGGCCTATGATATTTTTTATTTTATTTCATGCACTAAAAACGTAGCAGTGAAAACTCTGTTAAGCAGACAGCAAATAAAACTGAATACTAGTCAGTGCAAATAATGGAAGAGCAAAGAACGTGGATGAAAGAAATGGGTGACTGGGAAGCATATATTTGCTTCTAACATGATCAAAGGAAAATATCAAAGACAAACCAAAAAACACTGAAGTTGAACATAAAGAACCAGGTGAAAGTGTCAGATGAGATCATTAAAATATATTTACTATAAATAATCCCGAATTCCAAATTGAAAACATGCAGAGAGGCATGATATCTTTGTAGCAAGTAAAAAGAAATGTAAAGACATAATGTTACAGTAATCAAATGTCAGATTTGTCTTATGCCCAAGGACACCAAAATTCTGCAGATAAAATTTGATAGAATTAGGTTTGCTGAAAGCTGATTCTGGAAATATGGAGATAAGGTAAGTCCAAAAAGCTCCATCTTAGGGGCTCAGGGGCACAAAAGGCCTTTATGAGAATGAAGAAGAGGAGCAGGGCAGAATATCTATGTGCAAAGTTGGATGTTTTGTCATCCAGGGCTGTGTTTCCTCTCTTTTCTCTGACCAATAATTAGCTCCTGTGGCTAATTACTGAGGAAGGATGTTGCAAAGGCCACCTGGGTTCTGTAAATCTTAAAACATAATTAAGAGTTATTATCCTAGCCTGCTAAGTGGGGCTCCTCTTCAGCCTAAGGACTAGGGAAAGGCAGAGAGATAAAAGGGAGGAAGGAAGGGAAGGCCAATATCAAAGATCCCCTATTATAAACCCTGGACCTTCTGGCCTTGGTTCATTCTCCAATCTTGAAGGATTCAGTTTGGCCAAGGTGACCAGTCTAGCTACTCCATGAAGAACTGGAGTGTACATAGCATTAAAGCAATAGAATTGTGCAGAACTTGTATTTTGAAAACATTTGTATTTTCTCTGGGTGGATGGTAAGTCAATACATGATCCAGGTGGGTCTTTTTCAATGACTAAAGCATAGAAATAAATGGACCCAGATACCTAAGCTTGAAAATAGAATTACTATTGTAAACAGTAAATCAGAACTGAAAATGAAGAAGATATTTTAAGCACATTATGTGGAAGATCCTCTCTTTTTCCAAATGGCTCAATTAGCATAGAATATTAAAGGAATATGTTTGGATCAGTGATAATAGACATTTTCTTACCTATACTTAAAGAGAGGCCGTGTCAACTATGCACAGATACCCATAGGAAGGGTTTTCTTCTAGCATCAGGAATAGTGCTAAGAACTTTATCTTCAAAACATGCCAAGCTGGAACCTCAGAGACTCTACCTAGTTTCTCCCTGCGTTGTCGGAATTCCCTATTATGAAGGTGCGTGGACCTTCATGGATCTATGTTCTCTTTTACATCAAGGATTTAGGAGAAGTGATGCCAGAGGAGGCATGATGTACTCCTCAAGCAGAGTTGGGTAGATAGGCTTTTTATTTTCCTAGCTTGAATATTGCAATAAATTTGGACTTCCTGTGAACAGTTACTTAGAAAAGTTGTTACAAAGGCCATTTTATGATCTGAATTCAGTAAATCTTTTAAAAGATGGGACAGTTAACATCTTAGCAATGTAGATGGGGCTTCTCTCCAACAAAAGGAAAATGACTTGGGGGAGATAATGAAAATTTCAAAGGTTCTCAAGTTATAATATAAAATATGAGATTAGGGACAACTGAATAATGACAAGATTCTTTTTATCTTCTATGCATAATTATGGTAAAAGATGAATTTATTTACCTCTTGCAGCTGGAAACTTGAGAAGATTACCCACAACAACCAACTTCATACTTACAACCTTTTATACCTAAAACACAATGAAGTATTACCTGCACTTAGAAACTTGGCTGATTGTGTAAATATACTGTTTTTAATAGAGTATATACTCTATTAATTTTATTCAACTTGACATTTTCCATAATGTAGTTGTGATTCTACCATTCACAAGCAATAAACTTCAATTGATAATCAATTCATTTAACAAAATGCTTCAATAAAACAAATGCATGCCTCTTTTCCCATGGAAATCTTCATTTCAGTATTTTAAATGCAAATAATTCTCACTTTTTTTATGGCAATTTAATCTACATTTTAAAAGACTTTGAAAAATATTCACTGACAATATTATTTTCACCTTTTGAAAATTGACATTTGAAGAATGTCAATCTTTTAGAAGGCTGCAAATGCAAAAGAAGTCTTTTATGTTATAGACACTCACTTTCTGACTAGCTCAGTCTGTTCACATTCAATTCGCTGTACCTAAGCTATATAATTTCCAGATGAATTGAGGAAATTATAGTTTTCAATGATCCCTTCCTTTTCCTTTTCTTTTTTTTACAAATCCCCATCTTCTACAAATTGAGTCAGCTTGTTTTCTGCTCCACAATTATTTGTCTCACCCTGCAGCAAAAATTCCTACAACAAAACTAACCTGGTAGTTATATTTGCCAAATGTATGTTTTAGGAGTTACCTCAACAGTGCATAGCGATTTCATGAATACAAAATTCTCATATGAAATATTAGTCATTTAAGACACCTTATTATTAATATGGATATGGATAGTGTCTAGTCCCAAATATCAATATGCCAAGGTTAAGAAACTCTGCCGATGACTAAGTTGCAACAAAATTTCAAAGAAAAGCAAAACAACCAGAAACAACCTCAAGAATGATCATTTGCTCAAGGAGAAATAACACCCTGGTGGCAATTTCAAATTTACTGCATAGATATAGAATCTGGTTACTGTATAGAGATAAGCGGTCACTTCTCATTGAAATTTATTCACTCTGGATATTTGTGTACCTCTCCAAACACACATTTCTTATTTTTCCAGAATTCTATATACTCCTTGGAATCAGTCCTTTGTTTGACTGTGTTCTAACTGCTCCTCTTATTATGTTTATGGTGTCACAATTGAGGACATGGACTCAAAACTGAGAATTCTTGAGTTTGAATACTGTATTGACCATAATATTAATGGAATTTTTTTTGAAGTACTGGGACTTGAACTCAGAGCCTACACCTTGAGTCACTCCACAAGCCCTTTTTTATGAAGGATTTTTCTAGATAGGGTCTTGCAAACTATTTGCCCTGGCTGGCTTCGAACTGCAATCCTCCTCCTGATCTGTCTCCTGAGCTGCTAGCCACTGGCACCTGGCTCTTAAAACTTTTTGAAAAGATGTTTGATTTCTCTATGCCTCCCCCTTTTATATCTTAAATTGTGAACATTATATCACAACATTCATAGAGTTTTCTATTAAGAGACTAGGTTGACACTCTTGGGGATATACGCAAAAGACTGTTACTCAGAGGCACCTGCACATCCATGTTTACTGCGGCACTATTCACAATAGCCAAGTTATGGAAACAGCCAAGATGCCCCACCACTGACGAATGGATTAAGAAAATGTGGTATCTATACACAATGGAATTTTATGCAGCCATGAAGAAGAACGAAATGTTATCATTCGCTGGTAAATGGATGGAATTGGAGAACATCATTCTGAGTGAGGTTAGCCTGGCCCAAAAGACCAAAAATCGTATGTTCTCCCTCATATGTGGACATTAGATCAAGGGCAAACACAACAAGGGGATTGGACTATGAGCACATGATAAAAGTGAGAGCACACAAGGGAGGGGTGAGGATAGGTAAGACACCTAAAAAACTAGCTAGCATTTGTTGCCCTTAACGCAGAGAAACTAAAGCAGATACCTTAAAAGCAACTGAGGCCAATAGGAAAAGGGGAACAGGTACTAGAGAAAAGGTTAGATCAAAAAGAATTAACCTAGAAGGTAACACACACGCACAGGAAATCAATGTGAGTCAATGCCCTGTATAGCTATCCTTATCTCAACCAGCAAAAACCCTTGTTCCTTCCTATTATTGCTTATACTCTCTCTACAACAAAATTAGAAATAAGGGCACAATAGTTTCTGCTGGGTATTGGGGGGGGAGAGGGAGGGGGAGGAGTGGGTGGTAAGGGAGGGGGTGGGGGCAGGGGGAGAAATGAACCAAGCCTTGTATGCACATATGAATAATAAAAGAAAAATGAAAAAAAAAAAAGAGACTAGGTTGATGCATGGACACCACTTCCAAAGAAAACACTATTACCTTCAGCTACATTACCATAAGTCATGAATTCTGCCTTACTTTGAAAAGAGTATAGACTCTGAAGCCACATTTCCTATTGGAATCTTGATTCTACCAGGTACTTGTGGTATAATTTGGTGTCTTAGTTTTCTTAATACCTTTGGTGCCTTAATTTTCTCCTCTGTAAAGTGGGGAATATCCATGTACGACGTAATTAGATGAATACATTAATACAGACACACTTCTTATAATGCAAACATCCCCCTG